CCTGCTGAGAGTTTTGACAGATGATTTTTTCTTGTTCCTGCCTTTCCATTTTACTTCCCCCTCTGCCCCCACCCCATAAATGTCATCCTTGGGGACATGGCACCACCCTGCAGTCATCTGGGGAACCGGGTCACCTCTGACTCAGAGGAAAAACACTCATTACTGAGAACTTCTATCATGTTTTTCTCTCCGATGACAGAAATCTGCAGCACAAATACGCCGCAGTCTGGAAAAACAAAGGAAGAAGCAGAGGTTTCTGCAAAAGTTTTCATTTCCTTCACAAAGGAAAAGCTTTTGTTCCAAAGTTCTTTGTAAGATATCTTCACCCATCTCTGCCCTCTCTCCTTCTCCTACTACAAAGGGTCTGGGGCAGCTGGTTCTTCCTAGGATGCCACAGAAGGTTTGCATTAAGATGTCTCATTTCTGTTTTTGCAGAATAAAGAGGACAACGCTATTACGACTCCAGCTCTTGGCCGAGCCCGAATACCGGCTCAGCGATGTGATGAGGGAATCCCTCCTGCAGGACCGCCTGGCCCCTGTCCTCACCGAACCCCATCTCTTGGCTTTAGACAGACGGTTACAGCTTATCCTGAAAGCTGTGAGGAAATGCATAGACACCTATGGAGAAGCCAAGGTGGTGGCCAATGACACCATGCAGCCCGAGGCGCCCGTGTCCGACAGAGTGAAGCTGACCACTTAAAGAGCCCTTAACTCCTGCTCAGAGGTGGGGAAAACCCCTGCAAGGCAAGTGGCAAGTTCTAATAGCTGGTAACTTCCATCTACAAACACCTACAGAGACCGAGAGGGGGAACTCTTGAGAAGACCTTCAAGAATCACACTGGGCGTCTATGCTGGGTACTCAGCCAAAGCTTCTGTGCTTGGCCAGTGTGTTGGGAAGTTGTGGTCTGACTGCAGCAGACCTTCACCCCCCACATACCAGCTCTCTGGTGGAAAAGCAGTGACATCCTGTTCTGTAGCTGGTCATGCCCTTGGGACGGCAGGGGAACACGTGGCCATTGGTCTGCTCAACCTGCACGGGACCTCGGTCTTGCTAGGGAAGGACACAAACTAAATCCAAGGATGAGGCTTGAATAAAGAGATGCCCAGACCCTTTTCCTCTTACTAAGTCTCTGTTCTGTAATCAAGACTCTGTGTTTGAGAAAAGAGCAATCGTACTTCACGAGGGCAGTACCTGCCCCCGAGACAAGATTGATTCAGCATGGTCAGACTGAAGAGAATCCACAGAGCATTCGTCATCCATTGCCTCTCGGTCTCTTCAACCATGACCAACCCACTCCAGTCCATGCATGTTGCTCAAAAGCCCACTGCCTCACAGCACAGTAAAACAGCTTCTACTTTACTGGTCTCATGGGTGGAAGAGCCAGTTTTGGTTATAAGAAAAAGGCAGGTGTCTATTGCCTTTGACCCCAAGAAAAAATAAAACAAGACAAACTCCTCAGAGGCATAGGCCTGTATTTGCAATTCAAGAAGCCACCCAATTCTGGTAAAAACATTTTGTCAAAGGGGGGGGAAAATCTATCTCAGGTCATCTCAATTCTCATAGCTTTAAAAATTGCTGAAGCTGGCAGAAATCCCTGGAAGACAGAAATGGTATACTCCCCACCCCCATCCCCACCCCCGTGCATTTGGAGGAGACGCAGTAGGAACTGGACACCAGAAAAGCGTGGGGAGGGAGTTACTGTAGATCTTTCAATTCGTAGTTCTCCCGTTGCCTCCCAACAACAAGGCTTAAGAATAACTTCATTACTGAAGCTCCGATTAATAAATTTCCCTTTAACTGTTCACAAACGATAGCACTGAGTTTTTTGGCAGTGTAGGGCACGTTGAGAACTTTGTTGATAATTTATCACCCTTAAGGAAGAAAAGAAAAAAACCCCAGTCAATCTAGTAGAAGCTCATTCTGAACTAACCTTTAGGATAAACAAAACCATCACACAACCGTTGTCAGGCAGCAGTTGTTAGGTTCTCCGCAAGCCACTGCACCCATCGCTGCCTCAGTTTCCCGTGGGCTGGAATTGGAAGTGAGGAAGAGTGAAGAAATCTATCCTACATGAGGAAGAACTTCTTCCCTCTGAGGGTGACGGAGCCCTGGCCCAGGCTGCCCAGGGAGGCTGTGGAGTCTCCTTCTCTGGAGATATTACAGCACATGGACGCGGTGCTGTGCAGCCTGCTCTGGGTGACCCTGCTTGGGCAGGGGGTTGGACTGGGTGACCCACAGAGGTCCCTGCCAACCCCCACCATTCTGTGATTCTGTGAATTTTGCCCAGCCTAAAGGGAACTTGGTGGCAGTACGTGTCTGGATCACACAAGGAAGGAACGAAGCTCATTTGGCCACAGCTATGGCTTTTCACAGGGGACTCCGCAGTAACTCTACTATTGACTGCCCATCTCCAAACTAAAACTCCAGGAGAGATGTAGTTGTAATGGGAGTGTGTCCCTGCGGGTGCCTATTCTATTCATTTGTATGTCTGAGGAAGTTTGGAGTGTTTCTACTTAGTGAAGAGATTCCTCCAATATTCTGAAGCCACAAAGGTTAGAAAAAAACCCCCAACCAAAAAACAAACCCCACACCAGGCTCCTTTAGTCTCTGACTTGGGATTCAGCCCCATCCTTCCATTTGCAGCTTTCACAAAAGCGAGGTTTTAGACCGTCTCAATCAAACAAACAGATTTCTTGATGCTGGGGGACTTACAGACCTTTATACTCTTGTGGACAGAGAACAGATGAAAATGAAAGGGTTGAACTCACTCTCAGCACGCACAGTGCAGTCGTTATTTCTGTACAGAACGCTGCATTCCCAACGTTGTATCTCCCTCTACCGGTGACTTTTCGGGCACATATGACAAGCCCAAAATCAATTTGATCGGTGTCATGGAATGGTGACTGCTGGCTCGAACAGGAAGAACATGGCAACAGAAGATAAGTTTAAAAGTAAAGTTATAAGGTTGGAAGTTTTAAAGTTTCACTTTAGTTGTGTTTTCACACACCCCCCCCTTTTTTTTTGGTCGAGGGGATGGGGGAAAAGGGAGGGCAGGATGAAGGAAACAAACCAACAGATATTTGAATGGCTGGTGCACCAACAGGGGTTGCAAGGTTGCTTTCTTCTTATTATTCTCCTTTACATGGTAGCTTTTTAATGTATCTTCTAAGTCGGGCGATAGCTTTCTCAGAGCTAGATGTAAAACACGTCCCGTCTCTTCAAGTTTTTTTTCCCCACTTCATCATAGTATGAATATTCCTCTCTCCTATTTCTCACGCTCTGTCCACCAGAACTCATTCCTGATTAATAACATGTTCAAAACTTCTGTTAAGGGTACGCACAGGTGGGAGGAGACAACTTACAGAAGCTTATCAGCTCCAATAGTAGTGGCTGGGCATTAACAACCTCAAGAGCTCAAAGCAGCGCGAGTTGCTACTCAGGTCAACACTCAAGACGCAAGTACCTTCTCCCTTCAAAAGCAGTCATGGGCACCCAACGCCAGGACCCCAGAGAAGTTCCCGGGTCGTGGGCATAGGACCAAGCTCTCCTGCAGGCTCCAGAGGCGAAGGTTCAGCTGTGCTGTCAGCTGGGACTTGACCTGAAGGCTCCAGAGCGAACACAAAAGCTAAGCCATTAAGCTTCTTGCCTTCTACCACCTCATTAATAATGTATCCTCTACGGCCAAAGGAAAACACAGTATAGGGATAGGAAAAAACAAGAGACTGATTTCATTTAAGAATTTAAATCGTTTTATTGCTTTACCTGCCATTAGAACAATCTATAACAAAAGGAATAGAATATATTAGCACATACAGTAAATCAGACTTATATAGTCAGATAACAATACAAAAATGGTCCTCTGGTTGACTATAGCTTTCTAGGGCAATAGATTTCGTAAATTTGCTAAAGGTGGACTAGCAAAAAATTGCTTCTAAAGCCCTGAATGTTAGCTAAGGCAAAACTATGCCAATTGTGGTTTCAAACATATTTAAATTGCACACAAAGGTAAAGCTATAAGTGTGATTAATATTAACTCAGACTTAGCTGATTTATCTTAAAATCTTGTAGGTAAAACTACAAAAGGGAGTAAACAGCAAGCTAAAAAGATGCAGTAGTGAAAGTTGCTTAGAAAGCTTCATATAAAAAAAATGTGCATTTTTTGTGGAGCTTTAACTAGTTTACAGTTTTTGGTGCTTTAAAGTAACACAAAGAAAAAAAAAACACATACGAAAAAACCTGGATAAAGTCAAAACTTAAGAAAACAGTTTTACCAAAAAAACAACCCCCACCAACCAAAAAGGTAGCATTTGCTTACTCCTTAAGGACTCTGGCAGAAATCCTCTACTCAGCATCTTCTGAACAGAGAACTCAAACCACGAGCATTTCAATCCCATTACTGGGATTTCAGGTTCAGAAATACCCTGAAACCTTTTGTAAAGGCTTGATACCCTCAGCATTATTTTGCATCAATTAGCAGACTCTTTCCGACTATCTACGTGCCTGGGAGAAAGTCTGCTGAATTCGAATCCGTATCATCTCCAAAAGGAAGTAAAATGAGGGCCCCATTGTTAGAAGTAGTTGCACAACAAATGCAGAACTGCTTGCTGTCACTCCCAAATACAAACCTAGGCTACTTTATATAAATTACAGTTGAAAGGAAACCTTAAAAATCGCCTACTATTATTGAACCGTGGAATTCAGTAAAAACTTTTGGGAAGAATTGGTGCGCACGGAATAATGGAACACAAAGCTGGTAAATACTGAAATACATTTAAGACTCCGCAACATAGAATCATAGAAAGTTTTGGGTCGGAAGGGACCCTTAGAGGTCATCTAGTCCAACCCCCCTGCAGCGAGCAGGGACACTGCTAACTAGATCAGGTTGCATACTGAACTTGGAAAAAAGAGCGAGTATGAAATATGCGTCATGTGAATTCCATAAGCAAGGAAAGAGAATGCAACTTTTGTATTTAAACTAGATTTATAATTAACCATTTTAAAAACTATGAATTGACTGAGTTAAAAATAACTGAGTGTTGCTGGAAAGGTAAAACATTGACTTTTTCTGTCTCTCATTCTCTATCAAGAATAACGGCATCTGCATAGACCAGCAATCCTGCCACCTGCAACTGATGCTGGCCATAAATACTCCACATTTATCTTCCCTGGTAACAAACGGTCACCTGAACTGAGAATCATTTTTTAAAAAGTCAACTGAGGAATACAGAGCACGCAAGAGTCACCGGGAAAATAAAATCTTTGCTTCCGATTTCTACACCAGTCTAAGTACTTGAACATTACTAACAGCAGCACAGCTGTACCATTCTGACACCAATCTACATACTAGAGACCAAAGTTCGGCTTTTAACGTAACATTTGGTTCTTGCCACTTTGAACAGGAAGAGTTTTAAATGGCATATCTATCGCTGAAGAAAGAACATGAAAAAACAACAGTTGCGGCAAGTCAGCAAATTAAGTAACAACTTCAGGAGTTCACCAGAATTATTAATCTTGAAAGCTTCAATTTACACTTGACAAAAACATAACCAAGCAATCTTAAACCAGCAGACACAGGAACAATTAAACTGTTAAATTCCAACTGTGGCTTTCTTAGCAGCTGATGCCTCATGACTGAACCCAGGATTACAGTACCCAGAAAATTAAAAAAAAAAAAAAAAAAATAGATGGTAAGAGCATACATCTCCATACAACTTTTCTATTAATTTAATGGGACAGAGAGCACAGAACTAATATGCTCTAAATTAAAAACAGTGCCATGAAAAGCAATTTTTTCTTTTTTTTTAATTTTTTAAACAGACAG